TTAGAAGAGAGCAGAGAGAAAAAAGGTGCATCTTTGTGGTGGTTTAGTAATTGAGTGTGTTCAGTTCGGTAGATCCAGGACATGTTTACCCTGTAGAGGAAACAGCTAGCCAGCTCCATCCAAGATTCCTTCCAACAACACAAAAACTAAAAAAACCTGTTTATACACATTATAAAATTATAAAATAAGAGACTGTGGTTTAATGAACAGTTACCTTACATCTCAAATCCTGTCCCCATAATGAAGTTTCTGGAAAACATTTTCTTAACAAAAAATACAATATTTCATAATGCTTAGCTTAGCTGAATGTAAAGAGTGTGTGGAAGACATGTGAATCTGACCTAAGTGACAAAAGCCATGTTGAGTTTACCATAAAGCCAGTACAGGGGAGCTGTGAGCTGTGTTCAACTCATTACACTCAAACAACATTGGAAGGAAGTTCATATTTCACAAAGTACATAAACAACATGAGAGCATCTTAATGCACTAACGTTAACAAACAATAAACAATACCAGCAAAAAGAGTGCAGCTATTACGAGAATGTCATCCACAGGTAGTGCTGGATGCTGAGATGTGAAAGCAGTGAGACAGCAACAGAACAGCGAGCAGCTCAGAGTTTACTGATATTACATTAACTCAACCTAACCTTCTAGGGGAGTGTATCTACGTTCCCAAGTTCCTGACCCCCTAACCCTAGAACTGGGGGACTTTTCATGATCCCATTATGTTCCGTATAAATCTGGGGGATATAGGATCCGAACACAGCAATGACCCCCCTTCTTAGCACAAGCAGCTGACAGCTAGCAGCTTTACCTTAGTAAAATACCTTAGTAAAATGAAGAAGAGAGAGAGAAGTCGCTGAGGTCTGACAAAAAAAGATTTATAAAAATTCGAATATTTCCTTCACAAACCTTCCTGAAGCAACACAACAGGTATTCAGACTGTTGGCAGGTTGAATGAAGTGCACTTGTTCAGAAAACGGATATTCTATCTAAAATCTATCTAGAACAGGCACTGACATTGGCCACCTGGTACCCATGGTTACCTGGTTACCTAACCATGGTTACGAGGCAGCCAATCAATGTCACTTGTAATCAAATGCCGGGCTGCCAAAACTCATCCCATTGGCAATGGCAAAAGCATGCTTTTTTCATCTAAATTACTTTACTAATTATTGTTAGTAAAAGAGTAAAAAAAAATCTTAAATAATCATCATTAAGACAACCGTCATGCACACTACACACTACACAAGACAGTGTGACGGTCTGGGTGTAGCTTCTCCCAGCTATAAATTCCTGCGATAGTCTGTGAAACTGATTTTATTGTAGCAAACAAAGATGCTTTTCGGCAAACGGAGCCTGGAGCGACTCGGATCTCTCCTTCCTCCCTTCCTTCATTCCCCCTGCCTTTCTTTTAATTTCTCATCTGAGAGACCACAGGGTTGCGGCTGACATTTTGCTGATAGATGGCAGCTCACAGCACAGCCTGGTGCCAAGGTCTCCGACTGCTCAGATGAATTCAGCTCTCAGTGATCAGAGGAGTCGCGCTGCTCTGTGAGTCTGCACCACCGCATGGATCATCATCCTCCACTGAGGCGGAGGAGAGGAGAGACCGGAAGATGGAGAGGAGAGATAATCAACTTTACCTTTCCAGACAGCCCACAGAGAAAAGAAACTAAACAAAATGTTCCACCTGCGTTTAAAATGAAACAGACTGTAGGTCTCTGTCTTTTAATCATTTGAGTTTTAAAGTTATTAGGAGTTATTTTCCTCTTGACCATTTAGAAGTGCTCTTGAAGACCTGGTGCCAGGTGCTCTGTGGAGCTTTCTTGTGTTTAAATCCAGTCTTTCTCATCAAAACACTTCATGTGTGTGCTTTATGTGCTGGATGCATTTCCTTCCTCACAAAACAAGTGTGCAGTGCTTACATCCTGCTAGCTTACGGTCTTCTTCTTCACTGCCTCTGCAGCCACTTTGCAATGCTCCTTGCTGCTGCTGGAACCAGCTACCTGCTGATCTCAAATGTTCCCCGATCCCAGCCACTTTCACATCTGAATAAAAAACAGTTCTCCTGCGCCTCTGATTGATTGGCTCCTCTACTGCGCTTGTGTCACCTTTGCAGTCACAGAATGGCAGTGTCAGAGAATTCTGTCTTGATTGTCACAAATAGGACTAAGTGTTTTGCACATTTTGTTAAAAACACAAAAGGTTCTGTGATCTACCCAGCTTCAGATCCAACCTTCATTCCCGTTCACAGGCAGGAAGATATACCCATAGGCCTACGGACAAAGTACAAAAAGCCAAATTGTTAAGGCTGCACGCACAATTACAGCTTCAATAGGCTCCACTGCAGGAAAAGTGAAGCATTCATAAGACTTTTTCGACGTAATTTGTTGGCAAAAAGCTTACTGACAGCTGGTAAATTCTGGGTGAAAATCTCTTCAAATTCTCCCTCGGGCAACAATTAGTTTACGAAAACTTATTCTTCATATTCTTTCGGGAGAGGGATGCAGCTTTAAGCCTCAGGCTAACTCTCAGAGCCAAAGCACAGACTACTACAGTGCACACACAGTAGCCTTCAAGTCATAGATACAACATAAACCTGAGAAACACTCAAATCTAATTATACACAGAAGATTTAAAGAATGTTGGATTATATTTGTGTCTAAACCATCTGGCTGTAGCAGTAAATCCCACACTGTTAACAGCTAAAAACTCTAATGGGATCAATGCAAAATGAGTCTGCGTGTGTGTGTGTGTGTGTTGTTGCACAGAATCGACTAGTTCTTCTGCTGGTTGGTTGGCATTAATTTTGATCAAATCCACCCATGTATTTCACTACTGACATCATTTCTCGCGCTAAGAATATTCCACATCAATATTTATTGAAAGCAGAGCTTTCATTTAGCTTAATTCTAAATTAAATTTAGCATTGCATTTCCATAGCCTTTTGGCTAACAGTGGCACATTACAGTGATGTTGGGTGTGTTGTGTTATTAGAAGCTAATGTAGTTTCGAGCTGCTAGCCTCAAGCAGAGATGAGGAGCGGGCTACAGAGGTTCAGTAAATACATTTCTGTCTAATTCTAATTCTAAATTCTGTTCTGATTTGGACATTTTTTTAAATCCTGTCTACGGCCCTGGCCTGTGATATGGTTGAGACACACAACATGCTGATATTTGGCTGTGAGTCAAACGTAAAAGTCCTAATTATGATTGTGAATATTCTTCATGTTAATGTGATCTAAATCAATCATAAAATTCTCACAGTCTGCAATCAAGATATTTCTGCACAAAATTAAAAGGCTAATTACTTCCAGGTTCTCTGATGTAGATGTAATACATTTAATATGTGATATAAAACATGTGACAACCCTGATAATGTCAGAGTTCACGTTTCTCATATTCTCTGAGGCTGAAATGAAAGAAAAAAACAAATACCAGAAACAACAAGTTTGTATTGTGTATTGTATTGTATCAAGTGTCTGTACAGTTATTATACTTCATGATTTAAGGATGAAAAAATGTCACACATTGTGGCAGCTGCCATGAGAGAGTGTGAGTGTGTTTTTTAGACTCTACAGTGGGATTCAGGGTGCAAGACTGAGACACACTTCACCTCCAGCCTCCACTGTTATTATGACTTCCTGTGTTATTGTGTGTATTTCTGTCAGTTTTCATTTTTATTTGAGTGCAGCAGCAGCAGTAACATCACAACCCTGAGGTTGTGGTGACTCTCAACCTCGCAGTGGGTGGGTCTGTTATACGTTTAGTTTTATTTATTTGTTGTCTAAATTGATCAATAATAGCACATTAAAAATTGAGTAAAAAAAATGGGCTTTTGTAGTGAAGGTGAAAACTCTCCACTCTTTCTTAAACAGTAGTAAACCATCATATGTGAGAAGCATGAGTCTTGCAAATCCTTTGGTCATTTGATCAGAAGGAGGCACCGGAAAGAGCAATGACACTGTGCTATGGAAAGTTTTTCATACTACATCTGTAAGTAACGTTAGTCCACAGATTTGGACGTTTCACTCCTAACGTCAGTCAAACAGTCACTTCGTACAAGTATTTGAAACTTCATGGAGGAAGCACTGCAGGAGTTTCTATTTTTAAAGAAAAAGGAAATTAATAAAAACATTTTAAAAGGAAAAATGTGAATTCATTTTAGAAAGGCCTTGCGTATGCTCCTGCACCAGCAGCATAGAATCCTCTCTTTCCCTCCTTTTGTACCTGCTACAAAGACTCCACGTGTGCACAGGTAGAGTGCTGCTTTGTGCATGAGCAACATTCATTAGGGTTCATTATAAGGGGTTTCTAGTGTTGACAGTGATGGATGGTTTCTGCTGCCCCCTGGTGTTGGTTGTTAGCACTCAGAGGCACCAACCATCTCTCTTCTGGGAAGACTTGACACAAGAGTTTTGGAACCTGGCTGCAGGGATTTGCTCTCATTAGAACGTTAGTGAGGTCCGACAGTGATGTTGGGCGATGTCTGGCTGTCAGTCGGTCTCCCAGTCCATCCCAGAGGTGCTGGCTGTGCAGGCCAGTCAAGTTCCTCCACACCAAACTGGAAAACGCTATAGACCTGGCTTTGTGCACAGGGACATGTTCATGTTGAAACAGGAAACACAGACATCATTTTGTAGGTTCCGGGGGGTCAGACCATGAAAAATAGCCCCAGACCAAGAGCACACAAACATTTTACACCACTTCACACCTTGATGACTGTGTTAAAGCCACAGTTTGAAGGCGTCAGTGTGAATCACAGAAGTACATTGGATTGTCCTCCAGTGTCTTAAACCCCTGTCCAACAAATACTGTAACTTTATAAAATAGAAAAACAGACAGTTGTCCAGGTGAGCAATGGAGTGAGAGTAGGCAGAGACAAAGGAGAGAGATATGGAAGGTAGACAGAAGAACCAGGAGGCTGTGACATGAAAATGAAGCTTTGGATCATATTCAGGATTTTCTAAAGACAAATAAAATCAGAACAAGATGAAGTCCAAAACTTTCAAAAAGCTTTATTTAAAAATTGAGTTGGCAGGGAGAAAGTTTAAATTCGGTGAACATTGCATTAAGCCACAACTTGAGTTACAAAGTGCTCAATCAGTTATCTGTACAGTGAACGTGGATTCAATAAAAGAAAACTCTTCATACAAAGCACCATGAAAAGTAGAAACAGAAAGAAGAAACTGCTTAAACTGTCAGCTCCAAAAAGTTTATAAAAAAAAAGTGGGAAATGATTAAAAGATTCAAATAAATACCTTGCATGTCAGCATGTCATCAAAATATGCAGATGAGTTATCGACTTGCCATTCGCTGTGTCAAGATGTTTTTTTTTTTTCCTTGCATGGCTCAAATAATCGAGTGCACCAGCAAAAACAGTATTGATCCATGTCTTTGGTCCCTGACACAGGGTCACAGTCACTGGAGCAGGAACCTCTGCAGGCAACAAACTGATGAACAACTGACGTTCAGTCTCCCACAGCCATGTAAAATAGTAGAGTTGTCATTTTGCTATGGCTTGGATTCGATAGTAATCACATTAATAATAATTATCATCGCTACAAGTGGAAGATTCAGCCATCAGCTAAGAGAGAGTTGAACAAGACAAAACGCCGTGTACCAAAACAGACACCGTGCATCAAAACCCAAACACCCTCATAACAACCCATTTGTTTCAAAAAACCCGAACTTACTTTCTAGAAGATTTTGCAATACAAGCTCAAGAATCAATTGTACTACTTTTACAGTTTTATATATAAAAAATGGATTGGACTGCCCAATTTCCTTTAAAAATATCTTTCTTTAACGCGGCAGAGTGAATTTAAATAGCTTCTGTGGGAGCTCACCGTGGAGCTAAATGAGTCATTCCTGGTCTTTTATCTTTTCTGGTAGTCTCTCAACACAAAATAGTGATCATGAATATCTGACATGAAGGCTGATTTCTGCCGAAGATAAGAGCCAATTATACGAAGAGAGCGGAGGATTCAAGTCAATGTGAAGAAGCTGACATTCACTATGTCTGTAGCGGTGTTGCTGAATGTAGTGCAGTCTTTTATCTGATAATGTTTGTGTTCTGACCTGACAGATTAAATATATCCCTCTGTAGATACACAACATAGTACGACTCTCAGGTTTGGGTGCTTTTTCAATACCAATGAAGAAAATAAATGAATACAGGTCAAGCTACAAACCAAACTGCTCTACTTGCGTCATAAAAATTGGAAGAGACTAAACCTGTGACCTTCATGTAATGAGACACTGATATTAAACCAATTTCACATTTTTCTTATTGTCAATAAATCCCATTACAGTACTGCCTGTATGTTCAAAGCCTGATATATCTTTGCCATAGAGCTCAATTATTGTGCTGGAAATACTCACTAGGGCACACTATGTGTATTAATCCACCACTGAAAATAGTCCCCAATAAATCAGATGGCTAGAGAAATGACTGGGCTGTACATACTTCAGACTGTTATATCTTTTCTATTTTTTCCATTTTTCTATTTTCTATATATAATATCAGATATTATAATACCGAGTTTAACATCCTATTTCTCTGATGTCTTGTTTAGCACCTTGAGCAACTGTAATAAAACAAATCTCACCCCGGGGATCATTAAAGTATTTCTGATTCTGTTTGTAAAACTGATTTTTTGAAGCTTTACATCTTCAGTGGGAACCAATGGGCCCGCAGGTGCCTGAGCGATGAACCAGCTCACTGTTGGTTTTGGTCTTCTGGTGGGGTTTATCGTCAAAAAGACAAATAAAAGAGCGACGCCAGCCTCATCTTTTAAAGTGTGAATGGAAGGTTTAGTTATAATTAAACTGAGAATATTACACTTGTCAGAACAAATTCAGTTTGGGTAAGAACGTATGGCTGGTTTCCACTGAGTGATTCAGTTTGGCTTTATTTTCATTGGCATTCCCAACAAAGCAGCTGTAGCCGCGTTCACATATGGACACGCTGGGAATATTACACGACGGCATCATATTTGAGAAGTAGCTTGTTATTCTGTGAAAGTCACACAAACCGTCTACACTAGATGAGGACCGAATGACAGCTGTAACTCCTCTGTTACAGGTCACTGCTGGTTCCAATGGGGCCGCATTAACAATCAAACTTAACAGAGAAACATTTTAAATGCATTTCTTTTTCCACCTTCCTAAGACAGGACTGTAATAAATCTCTCATTTAATCATTATTTCTTATGCACCAGGAATTAAAATTGGTTTAATAAACCATGAAATACTGTGAACGAACCAATTTAAAGTTATAGTACATATGTTCTTCTCATATGAAGTAAGCCTTTTATTCAATGTAGTTTTTAATTAGGATATTTAATTTATTCCTGTAGCAGAGTGGAGCAAAAGAGATTGCAAAAACCTTAAAAAAATCACTTCATTATCAGACATCAGTGTCTATAAGTGTTAAACTGTCTTTTATACCAGCTGCGCACAGGATTTTACTCCAGAAAAATGCTTTACATACAGAATGTGGGCAAATATAAAAACTAAACAGGAGCTAAAACCTGTCCCGTTTTATCCTTCCGTCAGTCGGTGGTCCACTTTGCTCCTGACTGCCATGAAATGTTTTACCATGATTCCCAGAAGATAATTCCTAATGACTTTGGTGATTTGCCGACTTTTCACATTTGGATGGGTTACCAGGAAATTTGTCATGAAAAGCAGAGAAAATGTCAGCGTAAAAAGAGCAGAAACAAAAATGGAGAGAATGGCTTAAAAACAGAACTTTTGTAACGTGGCACAGAACATTAAGACCAGAAAGGGCTCAATAAAAATCAGACACGCAGGTTGGATTCAGTAGACAAGTTAGAAACAATGTACACAAAATATTTACACCCAAAGTGTTTTGTCACTCAAACATCCAAAGTAAAAATACAAGCCATAAATCTAATGCTCCTCCGTAGCACTTCACAAACAAACACCACTGATACAGCAGCAATAAAATGCCAACCAAACCACTAATAGCACAATATACATTTCAATAGGCACAGCAGAGCATTGGCAAATGTAGTGCACATTCAATGATGTGGGTCAATATATGGCTCTCTGTAAGACAGAAGTTCATTAGTAAAAGGAGATCCTTAAAACTTGAACATGAACTGTTTCAAATCATTATTGGTGGGAAAATGATGCAACATGTGGACCCTTTTTGGACTGAAGAACTGAATAACAGAGACATTTCCAAAGCAGCCCCTACAGTACACCGGATATGTCCTTCAAATCAGTTGTCAATGTTACCGTACGGAAAACAAGCGCTCCCACACTACTCTACATCACATCTGATGGGGAGTCAGGGATTGCTAAACAGCAATGAATCAAAATCCTTCATGTATTAAGACAACTATTCAACAAACTTCATTTCTTAAACAAGTTGTCTGTGGAAAGAGGATGAATGAACGGCTGCATGTATACTGTCCCTGACACAGGAAATGGTAATGTACTGAGTTGGTTTATCTGAATCTAACTCCACAGAAACTGCAAAGTTAAGACTGCATGGCAGCCTTTAGTAATTCTCCTTCATATAAAGTAAAACAAGTGTGATGAGACTCAAACAGGGGAACTAGAGTGCTAATTCACACTTACTGACAAGTGCTCCTCTATGGAAAAGGTGAAACAAAATAAAAACAACCAAACAAATACATTCATCAATAAAACAAAACGTCGCTGTGTGTATAGCTCCGACTGAAATCATTCAGGACTGATTCATTCATTAGACCTTTATATGTTTTACTTTTGGGCCATAAAACCCATGACTACTCAGTCACTGCAACACATGAAATGAAAACACCAGTAAACAACAACAAGCAGATTTCCCTTTAAAAACACACAAGGTGTGAATGCGCAGTAAGCTTTACCATATCTAACTTGTTATCTTTCAGTATTGAAAGAATCACTGCTACAGTAATACCCAGTAATCCATTTTAAGTTTTTAAGTGCAATGCATTCTGGGGCTGTAACTGTCCCATCTTGGTGACAACAATCATTATAGCCAGTGTTTTAATCTGGTAAACTGTTTCTGCCTGATAATGGGAGTCTGGAAAACACGCATTGAGTATCTAATGAGCTCAGTGGACGGAGTAAAGCCTGTACACAAACAACACAACAGGCTTAGATGCATTAAACATCACCAATAAGGGTTTCAGTGATTCTATTTCTGTAGCTTCTGGGCTATGGCTAGCTTCCTAACCATTAACCTCCCAACACTTACAGTCTTTATTCAATTAAAGACATGCATGTTAGGTATTAGGAATACTCTGCATTTGCTTTTCAGCAAGGCACTGGCCTCAGAACTGAAACAGGTCCCTGGACACTGCACTGCAGATGGGACAATACAGGGGACAGACATCTGAAAAGAGACTAAAAGTTACAACTCAACTTCTTTATATCATTTCTTTTACTTAAGCAAGTGCGCTGGGTGTTGCCCACGCAAATACTTTTACAAATAACAGAGAATTCTGTTTAAATATAAATTCAGCTGAACATGCTGCACCTCCAAACATCTGTAAATGAACAGAATGAATCTGTGGACACAGACACTGTTCACAGCCCCACAAAGACAAACTTAGGGAAGACATGATTGTTGTTACCACGTACATACAAGAACTACCCCAGTCACCCAGGTAACAAAGCCTTCACACTATCTTCTGTCTTGTCTTGTTAGCGCCAGCTAGTCACAACTGATTTAAAAAAAGTTTTCTACATTAGAGACCAGCTCTAACACAAACCTTTTCCTTAGGAAAAATAAAGAAAAAGGAAAACAAACAAACAAAAACAAAATCATTTTCACATGGAAACGTATCAAAGTACAGGTGGACGGCACAGATCTGCTTTACTGCTCAACGCGGCAGTCCAGCGTGGACGGTTGATTAAGAGACGCGCCCGACTGAGCAGCAGTAACAGTCTTTGACTGGTACAGGACTCTGTGGGCCTAATCTTTACAGACGTCTCCTGTATGGTGACATCACTTGGGTGGGGAGGGCCATATGGGCAGAGGATGGGCCTCTGTGTTGAAGATATACTTGTCTAGACTGAGCAGCTCCATGTCATCAGAGAAGAGCAGATACATGTACTTGAGCGTCTCACCCAGGAAGAAGCTCTCCATCTTGTCCCGGGGCCCGGGGTTGACGGGGTCACGAACGTTGTTAATGGACGTGTAGCCGCCATCAGACACCTGCGGGAGTGCAGGTGTTTGGTCAGTTGCTTTATGGGTAAAAAACTCTAGACAGTACTGTGGTGATTGCAGTAAATGTGTGAGTACCTTGGTGTAGTTATTGAAGCTCTGCAGTATGTCCCACCCCCAGTCTCTGTACTTGGTGTCTTTAGTAAATCTGTACATGTAGAAGAGACTTTCCACTGTTTCTGGTCTCAGCAGGTTGTGTCTGTCTGCAGGCTGGACGAGAGAACGGGAAAAAACTTGTCATTATAAAAATAAAATCAATAAAAAGGGATCTGATATAAAATATCTGACCCTTATTCAACCCCAGTCCCACAGGAAATGAAAATGTTTTTTTCTTATCAAAAAGAGCAGCATCAGTGAGTGTTACAGCTACAGTTAAGATTAAAAGGAAACTGACTCAGAATCCAAAAATATGACTGCACAACAGACACACATATTTCTATGCTTCCTTCACAACACAAAAAGGAAGTAATACACTTGTTACCTACATTTTGGTGAGATTAGTTGTGTCTGAGTATGAAGAATGAAGAACGGATGTTTTGAAAACCTCTGAGGAACTTTTACAGTTTGTGTTTTGAAGTCAGCAAAGTTAATTCCTGAACTCACTGGGCATTGAAAACCGAACATCCAAGGATATTTAACAAGAGGAGATGTGAGAAGTGTTCTCCATTTCCAACAGCAGTTAGTTTACTCTGAATTGCTCATAAGAAACACTTTAATAAAGCCTTTCTAATGACATTCATTTCCTTCATTTTTAATCCTAGAATTAGAATGAGCTCCTAAAACTTTTGAGATGTTTCATACGTATATTTGAGGTTAATGAAGGCAGCAGTGGGGACGAGAACAAATATATTGGATGCTTTGATAAACCTTAAGCAGTTAATGAAAAATAAAATGAGTGCTGAGGAGAGTTAGGAAGGTTACGGTCACAACTCCCACGACAAATTCAGACTAGCTGATTAAAATTGTATCCAGCAGGGTCAGAAGAATCAGTAGTACGCTCTGACTCATTTTGGCTACTTTAGCTTATCTCAAATTACAGACTGCACATTCAACAGTAAACGTCAATACACTGAATCATTCAAGTCAACAAATAAAGACAGTGCCTCCCAATGCAAGTATAAAACACAAACAGACATATAAACACCTATTCAAAGAGATCGGACATGGAGATGATCAAATGCCACCTAAATGCTATCAACCTCACCTTGACAACAACGTCACGGCCGTCACTGGCCTGCAGGCTGAAGTGTACGATCTCTGGGCTCAGACCAGTCTCCATCTGTTTGTACATCTGGTGACACGTCTCCGTCAGCTCCACAGCCAGATCCATGTGGTCCCCAGGGAGGCCGTTGTGGGCCCCCAGCGCCAGGGTTCCTGGCAGGAAGCAGACAAGGTGGTCCTGTAGAGTGATGAGAGAGAAAGAGAGAAAGAG